TTTTGAGAAACACGGTACAAAATGATAACTTTGAGGCTTCATAATTTGCTAACAAAGAGTATGCTCCATTTGAAAGTTTCAGGGAATTAGTGTCTCATGGTTTACTATCATTTTTCACCAAAATAAAGTCCAGAATCGAGGGCGAGAATACAGGGCATTTTTGGGGTCGCTCTTTGAAAGTAAAAATAAATCGATAAAAATCCTGCCATTGACACCTACCGTGTCAGTTGCAGGATTTGGTGCCTGCGACGCCTTCTTCTTAAAATCGGGCTTCAAACTGGAAGTAGGATCAACCGGCCGGACGGTAGTCGAGGTGGCTTCGCTGGTCGAGTAAGCCGTGGAATACGTTACGTCGGATGCGATAGTTGTGTTTGGCATTGAGTGTGTTGCCGAGTTTGCTTGCTGTAATTGCGGTGGTTGTTGCTGCTGCTGCTGTTGCTGCTGCGGTTGCCGCTGCTGTGGTTGCTGCTGCGGCTGCGGTTGCTGTTGCTGTTGTTGCGATTGCTGCTGCTGTTGCTGTTGCGGCTGCGCCGATGGTTGATCCTTAGGTAATTGTTCGTTTTGCTCAGTCGTCACTACCGATTTGTCAGGTGCGGCCCGACGTACCCTCTCCACGTTCTCATCGAATAGTCTGATATTCGAAAACTGGTGATCGGACGACGACTTGCCATTCCATCCGGAATAACTGTAGTAAGAGTGGTCTGAAACAGAGGAGAAAGCGTATTCTAATTACAGCATTGAAATCTTGAAGAATATCGAAAAGAAATATTTTCTAACGCTGGAGTGCATAAACGTTACTATTTTCATTTTCGTCTTTTCTTTCTTTTTCAAAAAATAAAGTGAAAAATTACATTAAGAAATTTAAAAATACAATAAATTAATAAAACAGTTAAGAAATTTAATTTGAATTTGTAGAACAAATTCTAAAAATACTCTCAAGAATTTAGAGAGTGAATAAATTTCTCGATGATATCACGAAGGAAAATAGATACTTTAGAATCAATTATTGATAGGTTGAAGTAATTTTTATTTTTTATGGGACAAATTTAGAAATAATTTTCTTTCTCAATTAATAATAATTTCAATATCTTTCTTATATAATTGTGCGAACTGTTGTCCATTCGTATCCGTTAAGTGGGAAAAGATACGTCCCATATTTATTCGCGAGCGAAAGAACCTGTCTCGATTATAAACCTTACTATTTTCATTTTCATCTTTCTTTTCTTTTTAAGAAATAAAATAAAAAATTACATTAAAAAGTTTAATTTGGAATTTGCAAACCAAATTCTAAAAATACTCTCAAGGATTTTTAGAGTGAATAAATTTTTCGGTGACATCACGAAAAATTTTCATCTTTTATTTTCATCTTTCTTTTCTTTTCAAAAAATAAAATAAAAAATTACATTAAGAAATTTAATTTGGAATTTGCAGAACAAATTCTAATAAAAATACTTTCAAGGATTTAGAGAAAAAATAAATTTCTCGGTGACATCACGAAGGAAAATAGATACTTTAGAATCAATTGTGGATCGATTGAAGTGATTTATTTTTTATGGGACGAATTTAGAAATAATTTTCTTTCTCAATTAATAATAATTTCAATATCTTTCTTAAATAATTGTGCGAACTGTAGCTTATTCGCATCCGTCAAGCGGGCGAAAAATGAACCTGCCTCGATTATAAACCTTACTATTTTCATTTTCATATTTCTTTTCTTTTCAAAAAATAGAATAAAAAATTACATTAAGAAATTTAATTTGGAATTTGCGGAACAAATTCTAATAAAAATATTCTCAAGGCTTTAGAGAGAGAATAAATTTCTCGGTGACATTACAAAGGAAAATAGATATTTTAGAATCAATTGTTGATAGATTGAAGTGATTTAATTTTTGTGGGACGAATTTAGAAATAATTTTCTTTCTCAATTAATAATAATTTCAATATCTTTCTTAAATAGTTGTGCGAGCTTACAGTCCATTCGTATCCGTCAAGCGGGAAAAGATACGTTCCCAATCTATTCGCGAGCGAAAGAACCTGTCTCGATTCATCCTTGAGCTCGCGCGTTGCAATTACGATACTACGACTGATTATTGAATGATGGCTAGGGCCAATCTATGACACACACACACACACACACACACACACACACGACCGTGTTGCATTGCATGCATTGTCTCCGGTGTTCGCACACGCTCGCCGAGAATGATTCCCTTCGAGGGGATCGGGTGTCCATTTAACCGATGCGTCAACGTCAAGCCCATCGCCGGTGTCCGAGATCAGTGCCATGAAACGTGGATTAACCTCGATTTCTGTGTTCGTGATAGCCACCGCGCGATTAATGGACAGTTCGGGGGCAAAAGTGGCACGGGACAAACTTTTCAACAACCACATTCACATTAAATTTCGTTGTCAGGATCTTTCGTTAGAACGGGCAATTACTATATCATGCGTGCACCGTCCTCCGTCAATCATCCGTCTTTCTTTAACATATTCTGCATATTTTAGTTATAATTTATCGACAGCGATATGAATACCAAATTATTTTTCCACATAAATATGGATATAAATTAATATTCTTTTTTTTTTCTATTTTCTTTATTCTGCGGACTAGTTTTTGCTAAAGCGAATTAATTTTTTTAAACCCATATTTGCTACCTACAGAATGTTTCGTAACAGGTGATGCAATTCGGTCTTCAAGTCATTTTAAAAAACATTTCCATTGAATAGAATACATATATTTGTACAACACGTATTTTTTATTTTCATAAAATACTTAATATTTATAAAATAATATTAATTCAAAAATGCAATCCACTGACTTGTGATTTAAACATTCCGGAATTACTCGAGTTTGCCCGAACTCGCGCGTGACGTCACGAGGTTGTAGCCGAACGCTCATCATATAATTCTTCCCTTGTATTTGCTTATTTTTAATAGTGTAATTAGTAAAAGAAATGAATAAACCGAGAGGTTATCGGTGGTGTTTTGTGCCTATGTGCAAAAACACATCAAAAAATACACCGCATAAAGTTTTTGTACAAGTGCCACGCAATGAAAGCCAGCGTAGGTTATGGTTCCGTCAAGCCCGTCGACCTGACAAACCAACACAATCAAATTATTTTTGTGTGAGGATCATTTTGACGTAAGTAATAAAAATNTTTAACTATTGGTCATTATTATCAAAAA